GAGGGGGAGGGCGCGGGGGAGGGCGGGGAAGCCGAGGCTGCCGCGGGGCAAGCTGCTGCGCCGGAGATGATGTCCGGGCAGGAGGAGCCCGACCCGCTGCAGCAGCAGCAGCAGCAGCAGCAGCAGCAGCAGCAGCAGCAGTGGGGTGAGGCGCAGCAGGACCCCGGAGCGGGCGGAGCGGCGGCGCGAGCTGCGGCAGCGGCAGAAGAGCCGGAGCACGCGCTGCCCCCTGCAGCAGCAGCAGCAGCAGCAGCAGCAGCAGCAGCGCCTGCAGCAGCAGCAGCAAGCGACAGCGCCTCGTTCCTCTCGCGACGGCTGCAGACGCCCGCAGGAGACGAGCAGCAGCAGCAGGATCAGCAGCAGCAGCAGCAGCAGCAGCGGGAGGAGGAGCAGCACGAGCCGCCGCCGCAGCAGCAGCAGCAGCAGCAGCAGCAGCGGCGGCGGGGGCCCCCGGCGAGGCCCCCCCCCCCCAGCGTGACTGTGGGGCGGGACCCGGGGGCCCCCGGGGCCCTGGGGGGCCCCTACGCAGCGCTGCGGGAGGACTTGTTGGGGCCCACCATCTTCGACATTCACTGCAAAGACATTTCCAACTTTAAACGAAGTGGGGCCCTCTTCAGAAGAGTGGCAGTGGCCTACTTGGTGTTTGCTGCGGTGGGGTTGCTGGCTGCGCTGCTCTCGCTGTGTCTGGGGCCCCCGGGGGGCCCCCCGGGGCCCCCTGGGGGCCCCCTGCGCCGCGCTGCTGCAGCAACTGCCCATAAACCTCGTGGGCTCTGCTGCGTGGCTGGTGGCGCTGCTGCTGCTGCTGAGCGGCCTTGCTGCTTGGGGAGTGGGGACTGATGTTGCTGCTTGTGTCACTAGAGAAGGCGGTGCTGCTGTTTGCCAACTTGCTGCTGCAGCAGCAGCAGCAATTGCTGCGCTGGTCCTCACGCTCTTTGCTGCGCTCGCCTACTGCCTCTTCTTCGCCCACAAGTTCTTCCGCGAACTCGACTTCGACAAGCAGCAGCAGCAGCAGCAGCAGCAGCAGCAGCAGCAGCAGCAGCAGCAGCAGCACGAGCAGCTCGCTGCAGCGGAGGAGCTGCAGCCGTCACAAACGCCCCTGCCCGGGGGGCCCCCAGGGGGCCCCCACACCCTTTCAGTACCCACTCAGGGGGGGCCCCACTTGGGGGCCCCCAGCAAGGGCTCCCCAGCCAGCCTCGCGGGGGGCCCCCCCGAGGGTTCACTCGCGGGCTTTTCGGGGGGCCCCCTGGGGGCCCCCCTGAGGGGCCCCCACCTGGAAAGTGAAACCCCTTTGCGCTCCGTCACCGAAGGCTCCCACGCAGCGAAGCAAGGCTGAAGCCCCAGCAGCAGCAGCAGCAGCAGCAGCAGCAGCAGCAGCAGCAGCAGCAGCAGCAGCAGCAGCAGCAGCAGAGCCGGGCTGCAGCGCCCGAAACCCTAAATTTCTTGAATCTCATGTTGGCAAACGAACGCTTCAAGGGCCTACGGGGCCCCGGGGGCCCCCGCGAGAGGCCCCAGGGGCCCCAAAGGGGCCCCTGGGGGCCCCTTGGGGGCCCCCTGGGGGGCCCCAAGGGGCCCCCCAGAGGGCCCACCAGAGGACCCCGCAGAGGCCCTCGAGGCCCCACATCCCCCACTGCCCCCTGCAGCACTCCAGGGGCCCCCAGTGGCCCCCAGGGGGCCCCCTAGGGGCCCCCTGGGACCCACTAGGGGCCCCCAGGGGGCCCCCTGGGGGCCCCTAGGGGCCCCTGTGAGGTGCGGGGCAGCAGCAGGGGGCCTTCTGCTGCAGCAGCAGCGCCTGTAGAGTGCAGCAGCAAAAGAAGAACTGCAGAGGATCTGCTGCATGCAGCCCCATTAATTTTTT